AGTAGTAAACCAAATTAGGAAAGATGAGACATACCAGGGCCTTGGGACTGCACGGGTGGGTCTTATAGGCAAAGGACTTCTCATAAGGTGAAGCAGCTTTATCCCTCTCCACAACCTCCTCTCCCCATATACTCTGCTTTCTTCTTTCCTTCAATACATCTGTGCTATGTGCTAAGTGTCAAGTATTATTCTAAGGCCTGGAGTTAAACTGGTCAATGTACAAATACTTTGCTATCACAGCACTTAGAATCTACCTGGGGGGGGGGGGTGGAGAAAACAATAGAAAAGTAAACTTTAAGATTCTTTCAGATATTGTTAACTAGTATAAGGAAAATGAAACAGGCTAATATGATAGAGAATGACGATGAAGGAGAGAGTTATTTAGAGAGTGTGGTCCAGAAGCAGATGACAGGTGATGTGAGGACTGAATGACCAGAAGGAACTAACCATGTACAAAATCTTCAGCGAGATCCTTCCAGGGAGAGGGAACAGCAAGTGCAAAGGCCCTGAGGCACAAAGAGTTTCCAAGGATCAGCAAGGAGGCCAGAATGCCCAGAAGTGGAGAGGAAGCCAGCTCGGACTCATTTTCCAGATGTGGTCTGGATTTTGGGCATGAGGGTATCTTGGCATTTACTCCTCGGGAAGCTGGAGAAATACTCCCGGCTCTCAGAATTAAGAGAGGTTATGTAGTATAATAAATGTTATACGAACACCTCTCCTGTTAGAAGCAGCCACATTATTGCAACTCCTCACCCATGAAAAATAGTTCATTTTATAATTCCTTTTGGTTGACGATGTGTGATAACAGGGTCTCATCACCATTGGCAGATTACATTTCGTAGCACTTGAGCGCTGAAAATTAGCTCACTTTGAATTTGAGATCCAAATTATCTATCGTTGATTGGATGCCTCAAATATTGTAAAACAGGGTCTAATAAATGGTGCGAAGTTATATCTGAGAGCTTATATGCTTTTTAAAAGGAAGAATACTTATGCTACACTTCCAAAGTAAGTTTTACGGCGTGTGCCCCTTTCTCCGGTTTTGAATGGTTTTTCGACTCTTGCATTGACTTGTCCTATCAGTCCAGCTGGACACCTGCGAATTAATAGCATCACATGCTGTTACCTCCAAGCAGTTCCATTTGGTCTGAATAACTGAGCGCGTAAGGAAGGAAAGAACCAAGGACAAGCGTGTTATTAGTATGTGTAAAATCCATTCCTGGGAGCTACTACTGAAGCAAGGAGATAGCGGCTCAGCTTCAGATCCCATTGATCACTGCTCTTTCATAAGCCATCTTAGAAAAGGGCAGCCCAGGTGACAAGTGGGCCTTCTGTGATAAGGGCTCCTCTCCACTGCAAATGGGAATCGGCTCGTAGTTGCATTTCACAGGGTCCACCAGATGGCAAATGACTTTATCTACCCAGACCAGATCCAGGCTGGAAAAAGACTACACTCCATGCCCCCTTCCGCTCTGCTGGGAGAATTGGAGCTTTTCTCCGAAGGGTGCTAGATTTAGTGTGTGTGCCCGTGTGTGTGTGTGTGTGTGTGTGTGTGTGCGCGTGTGGGTGTGCACACACACACACATGCTTTAGTTTAGCTATCCATGATGCTGTAGTTCCAAATACAGAAGGTTTCCAGAGCCATGAAAATTGGCTTCTGTGCTTGTGTCTCCTGATCTGGTTAGAAATCAGTGGCTTCCAAAACTGGGGACCAGAACAGAAAGGGCAGGATACAGACACAGCAGCTGCAGCGGCAGACATGAGCAAGATTGAAATGAGTCGGTGAAACGTTTGTGGGAAAAGGGCTGGGGAAAAGGGCTGGGAAAAGGGCTGGAAATGAAGAGAAAGAATCCATCTAACAGAAAAGGAAATGTCTTCATTATCACAAGAAACTCCAAGTAGCCTTCACTTAGTCACACTGGAATTACAATTTCAGCTCACATCGTTTGTGAACGAGGAAGTAGAGAATATGACCACGGAAAGTGATATTTTAAGCTTCAACACACATTGCTCATCACTGGCTTGACTTGCAGCATGTCTTTCAACAAAAGCACATAGTGATTTAATCTCAACAGTAATTTAGTCTGCAGCCGTATGAGACAAGACTATCATTGCAGACAGGCTGTAATTTGAGAAATTCAGGTGCTGGGGATTAGGACCACCTGTTGAATTTAATCTTAGAGTTATAATGTTAATACCATCATGCAACTGAACATAAACACTACATATTTATCAGGCTTTGGCACCTCCAGCCATGGAGATGTGAACATTTTCCTGAATGGTATCGGAACTCTCTCCAGATTCTGTAAATCAACGGCAAATAAAAAGTCTGTTGGAATTCTGCTCCAATAAGCAGTAGCATATGGCTTGGTGGTCATCACATTCAGCACATCCTGTAATTTTTCTGAGGCCTGATATGAGAGTGAAAAATAAAGCAGTATCATCTAGCAACATAATCAGAACAGAAAGTCTTTGATTTCTTACCCTCCCCTGTTAATCCAGAAAAAAAAAAAATCCTAGCAATATTCTAACAAATTGCCACCTCTGCCTAAGCAACACTATAAGAAGATTCCAAGTAAACCTAAGTAAACAGCAACTTCTGAAGAGTACATAAACCCTACAGGCACCTCCCTCTAAGCCATCAGAAATGAAAACTTCACCCAGTTTCCAGCCGGTTAAATAGTAGCAGGGAAGTGATGGCATCTTGAGTGGAAGTTCACATGTAACTCAGTGGGACAATCGGGATAATGTCTAGAGAGAAGGCATAGATTCTGAGATTTGCATTTGTTCTTTTGCTTGCGATGGGCAAACTGTTGAATCATTTGAGTATGGAATCTGATGACACATCGGTTTTCTAAGAAAGAATTCCGCTGGTATTAATTAGAGGCAAAAACCTTCCTGGTCACATTTATAAATCCCTGCTAAGAATTCCAAGGGCTTTCACACATATTTATCATCCATATTAACACTTCACAGTTTACAAAACCCTTTACTATAGATTATCTTGATTCTCATACAGAGTTTTGACATTCCTTTCAAAAAAGGCTGTTTTTCATTTTAATGAAATAACGCTCTGATACATTGACAATGGAATCCAATATATTTGTGTGAATAAACACTGTTCTGAAAACAAACATGAGGGCATCGTATTGTGCCTTATGCTGTCGATATTCTTAGCTGCTGTCTGTCCAGCAGGAGAACACAGGAAGGAAAATATTAGAATACCTTCCCAAAGGCAGATCAAAACTTTCAGCAAATTTCCCTTTTGATGCTCCATTAATCAAGCCTCACAAGTGCTATTTAGCCATTTCCACTAAACAACAGCCATGAAAATCCACCAAGTCCAATATAGTCATCATATACCAGTTACACATAAACATCACAGTCGGAAGCAGATGGTCTAAACTTTTCTGGAACTCCAGCCCATATAGGTTGCTCGCACAGAGAGATACAAAGAAGGTCATCGATCGACATCTTAAGGAGAAAAGTGAAGCTTTTACTGTAAAGCTGATGATCCTCTCTACTTTTGATTTTAACCAGCCCCCTCCCCACTCCCTGAATCACTTCCTAATGAAATCCCTTCCTCTTTTCTGCTTTCCCCAAGTTGTCCCCAGGGCAAAGTCTACCTTTTCAGAGACAGAATTTCCTTAAACCTTCCAGGGCAGTGATCCTTCTCATTTCTGCCCTGTTTTATACCTAGCATTTCTTGTACATTATACCTATTGGTCTATCTCTCCTTCCACCCATCCACATTTCATGGTATGGTTTTCTTCCACATGCATTCAAGGACCCCGAACAGCTGAGGCCTCCCTTAAATTGTTTTTTTTTTTTTTTTTTTTTTTTTTTTTTACCTTCCCCAGATCCTTTTTGCCATATGCATGACACACACGAGTGGAAATCTTTTGATCGCCACTTCAAAAAAAAGTTGGGACTTTTCCATGCAAGGGAAGGCCCATCTTTTCCCGCAGAAGGACCACCTGCTTAAATGTTACTTTGGTCCACAAGCATAACATCCGGTCATATAAAAAAGGCAAGACAGCTAGGTAGTTTCAAGAAATCCCCTAACCTTCATAGAGCAGATACAGAGAGGAAGTGGGTTGTAATAAAAGCATATTAGCAGCTTCAAATAATGGGAAATATATATATATATATATATATACACATATATATATTTCTTTTTTTAAATGAGGAATATATTTAAACTGTATTACAATTTGGGGAATATATTTAAACTGTATTACAATTATTATTATATTATTATTATTTCCAGAATCAGGAGACTTGAATAGAATTCTCCCGGAGGCTTTGCACCCTGAAACCTGAGATTTGCTATTTGGGGGGGGGGAGGGAGGAGGGAAGAGGCTTGATTTTTTTTTTTTTTGCAAATTCATCTTATTAATTATTAGCCAAGCCATGCAACGGCTTCCCGGAAGGCAGAGAAAGACAGGCCGTGAGCGGGGAGTTTCGAGGCAGTGCAAGCCCTGGGGGGGGGGGGGGGCGCGCCTGCAGGGCCCCGCTCCCCGAGGCTGGGGGCGCCCGGGGCCATCCGAGGCCGGGAGGGGAGCGGAAGCTTCCAGCAGCTCCAGCCCTCGGCGGGGCCCGGCTGCGCCCTCCCCGCGCCCTCCCCGCCCGCGCGCGCCTCGGCGGCCCAGCCCCGCGCTGCAAGGAGCCTGCACCCGCCTCCCCGCCGCCCTGCGCCCCGCGCCGCTGCAACTGTGCGGACCCGCGGGCTCTCCCTGCAGGTTCCAGTTAGCAAGTGGGGGCGCTGGGTGCATGCATCTCACCCCCGATGCCCCGAAAAACTTTATACCTCCGCCTCCCAACGGGAATTCCCAGCCAGCAGGCCCCACCGCCCGCCCCCCGGAGGGTGCGCACCCGCGCGGTCCAGCCTCCGCAGGGGGCACCTACTCACGGCGCCTCCCGGCCCCGGGAAAGGGGCGGGCTCAGGTGCGCGGGATCCCCGGGCGGGGTGGCGTGCGCGCCGGCGAGCGAGCTGTCACCTTGCGGTCCCTCACGCCGAGGTATCCGTCCAGCGGTCGCGGCGCGGCGGGGGCCCGGGCCCGGGAGGGGGGGCTGCTCTCGGCCGCCGGGGGCGCGCTGCCGGCCGCCGCCTGCTGCTGCTGCTGCTGCTGCTGCTGCTGCGCGCCGCTGCGGGGGCCGCTCCCTCTGGCCGCCGAGGCTGCTGTACACGAGCAACAAGCTGGTGCACATGGTGGTGAGCGCCAAGCACACAGCCAGACCGTGGCGCTGCGGGCGGGCGAGAGCACAGGGGAGCCGCTGAGAGCGAGCCCGCCGGCGGGGACACGCGCGACCCGGCCGCGGCCCGGAGGGAGGGTCCCGCGCGGACGCCAGGGGCCGCCCCCGAGCGCCCACCCCGCGGCCGAGCGCAGGCTCTGGGGCGCGCCCCGCGGGCTCGGCGGCTGGAACCCCCGGCCCCCGCGCCCTGCCCTGGCAGCGCTCGGTGCAAGTTTGCGACCCGAGAAAGCCCAGAAAGTCTGCCAAGGTGTCCCCCCACCCCCACCCCCTGCGTCCCCGCCCCTCTTAGTTGTAGCCAGGCTGTTGCTCGCTTTGGGGGTACCTGCCCCGCTCCCCGCTGCATCCCCAGCTCCCGCGGGCTCCCGCGGGCTCCCCAGACCTCCCCGACACCCAGGAGCACCGGCAGCCCGAGTTCCGAGCCAGGCGGCGCCCGAGGACCCCGCACCGGGGCGAGGGGGGGGGGGGAACACGGAGCAGGTGGAAAGTTGTCCCTTTGCAACCAGGCGCGCCGGCTGCGCGGGGCCAGGCGCCCCCGGGGCTCTCCGGTGCGCGCCCCCCCCCCGCCGCCGCCTCCCGGGGCCGCGCGTCCCGGGTCCCCGCGTCTGCCCGGAGGAGTTGCAACAAATGCCTCTCACCATCAGGGTCTTCATGGTGGGCACCTCCTGCGTGGGGGATCCTCAGGCGCGCGCGTCCAGAGCCACTTTTTCCTGGAGGGCGTCCATGGCGCGCGGCGCGCGGAGGCGGGGGCGCAGCGGCGGGACCCGCGCAGGCGGCGCTCGCCGAGACCAGAGACCGAATTAAAACTGAACCGGACCCTCGTAGTGTCTCCGCGGTCTACACAACTGCCGCCTGCCGCCGCCTGCTGGGTCCTAGAGACCTCTGCAGCTCCCCCCACCCCGCCCCCCTCCTCGCCCCCAAAGAAGCATCTTCTCAGCCTGGTGGGATTTCTGGGAGAGTGAACCGTGCCTCTGCACCCACCTATCGGCCCGAGGGCTTATTTATCGTCTGGGAAGTCATCAAGTGGAAAGGAAGGAGAGCCCTGGGGGGGGTTTGCAAACTCCATCCTCTTTTTGTGATTCTGATAAAAACAGCGAGTCCACCCCCCCCCCCCCCCCCGGGCCCGGGTCGTCGGTGACCCTCCCCAGGCGCCGGTTTTGCATTTGTATTCACAGCCCGGGGAGATCTGTCGGGAGATGATGTTTCCAAAACACATTACGGTTTCGGTTGTCCAGAGTGTAGGCTTTCTGGAATCCTCCTCTTTTTCTTTTTTTCTATTTTTTTTTTATTTTTTTCACTTTTTTAGATCCGCTTATTCGCGTGCAACCCTGATAATCCAGATTTCCGTCCACACGATTTCATTCACCGGCTTGTTGCGAACACCACGATTTACGTTTCTGCCGGGACTCTGAGGTTTCTGGCATTCTTCTAAGTGATTTTCAAGTGTTAGAAACATTCAGCACGTCATAGCCACATGATTCACCGGACCTGTAGATTCTTCGGAATTGTAAGACAAGATTTCTGGCTGCTGGAGAGAAAACTGCTTACTGCTTATTCGGGAAGACTCCTGGGGACTTTGGTGGTCTTCTCCCATTGGTCTGTACTGCACCGACAGCACATAATTTCACATTTGGAACATTGATTACAATCTCTTAAAAATCAGTGTTTGGTGTTGGGAAGTCCACATCACTAGCTTGTTGTAAGGACATCTCCCCCCCCCCCCCACTGCGTTGAATCACTAATGGCCTTTGTTAAACGTCTAATTTAGTTAGAGACCTATTTCTTGTGAAACTGCTCTGCGAGGATAGTTGTCTTCAAGTATTCCTCAACACCTCACCTGTAGCAGCGTAATGTTAAAGATTACATTAACCTGGAAATGACGAGCAGGCCAACTGAACCATAGGCACAATAAGAGCTTTCTCAAGGCCAAAAAAGGCATTACGATCATTTTGTAATCTTCAGTAATCCATTGCTCCACTGATGATACAACAGGAAACTATTTTTAACTTATGAGGCATCCTTCCATACTTAGTATTTAAAAAGTTAAAAATTACTGGTACAACAGTGGCTGTCAGTGCAATGTGTTTGGGGGAAGGCAAGACACACATAGGATTTAGCCTTTTAAGGAAAAACCAAAAAAAAAAAAATTCAAAACAGGGTCCAACATTGCCAGCCTTGAAGCTATTTATTCAATTTGTGCTTTAGGCATGAATAGTACCAGTTGTTAGGGCAGGAAAAGCAGCAGCCAGAAGAGAATCTTATCGGGTCTTGGCAATTCTTTATAGTATGGTTGCACTTGACACTCAAATTAGGGAAACAAAGGACCAACTTGATGAATCATCGCAAACAGATTATCTGTGTTTCTCCAGGGCTCCTTCTGAGATGCTACTAGACGGAGCTCCTGCATTTTTCAGGACCATTCCCCTTCCATCTAGCAAGTTGCCCAGTGACCGATAAAACACTTCTAATATATTTTGCTATGCCAAACAGAGCCATCATATTTATGATTTAAGCTCATGGCAGCACGTTGGACATCTGTTACACGGTATGTCTGACCACATTCATTAGGCTTAGGCTTTTTTTTTTTTTTTCCTCATGGGATGGCAGTTAGTTGCTAAATCTACTTATGGGATAGCCGGAGTAAATTTAAAAATGTAATTCTGGACTTGATTTAAATAATTTCAAGGTCTCTAGCTTTCAAGTACTTGATTAGATGGATGCGATGGTTTTAGGCCGTCTGGCCTGAGAGCCAAAAGGATAAGGTGGGGGTGGGGGAAGGGCAGATGAAACAAATAATAGAAGTTAAAATCCTTGGGCTGTTCAGTTCAGTGATCATTTCATTATCACCTGCTATCTGGTGGTTCTATATCAGGGAATGCAGAGATGAATAAGACACGGATCCTCTCCCCTTGGCTACATACACACAACCTAGGGTGTGTATGTTTGTGTGTGTGTGCACAGAAAGTATGCTAGACACATCTGTAAGTAGGCAATAAAAGACAGTACCGAGCTTCAACATATATTTATCAAGTGCCTACCCATGTTAAGCACCTACTATGTTCCAGATGTTGGGGATACCTGGATAAATAAATTATGCACTGCCCTGAGGGAACTCAGTCTCTTCCCAGATAAATGCTATGAACCTTTATGTTATAAAGAACTAACCAGGACACAATTAAAATACTTGATTCGTTTTCAGCCTCTGAGTGCTTGCTTATTTAAGATCTAAGGGGTTTGATATTCTAAAGGTACCCGCCTGTGTGTAACTTCATGCACACTTTTAAGCTAATACTTTGAGTATCCGGAAAGGGAAGAAAATAGGCAGCCCTTGCAGACACTTGCTTGACCTGGAGACAAGAAAACAAGCCAATAAAGCTATTTTAGTTCATCTAACGTGTCCAGTTCAATACAAAGTGAATCGGGGAATCACAATTTGTTTCTCAAAATCCAGGTAGCTGAGATAGATTTCTCACCACTTAAAATTTTGCCACATTTCTGCCTCCGGTGCCATCACATCCAATCAAATAGATTCCTACTTTTGAAAAAAAGAAAGGAAAGGAAGAGAAAAGAAATTGAGTGTTCCACAATGTAGGTTATGTAATAAACTGAAGGCGAGAACTTATGAAACAAGGCATGTCATGGGGCGAGGAGGAGGAGGCGAAATCTGAAGCTCAGAGGGAACACCAGCCTGTGCACTTGGCCACAAAGGCACCACGGAGCTACTGAAGGAGGCAGAAGGACAAACTGTTGGGAACCTCTGAGCCCTGCCCTTGGTTCCTAAGTGACCTCTCCATACAGAAACAAGTGAACAAGTGTTTCGAACATTTCAAAGATGGATGAAAAGCAGAAAACGACATCATGTAAACTGCATTTGAGATACAACTGCTTTACACCTTATGGTCTTAAAGAAAGAAAAGTTTTGCTAAATGCTACAAAAGCAGAAAGCCTAAGAATGGTAGAAAGTCCTAGAACAAATGTAATACTTGTCCATTCGTTTTTTTTTCCCCCCACAGTTTACTTCTTTTCACTTCACAGGCTGTGCTTAGTGGGCTAAGTGGGTTGAGAATTAGTCCTTGGAGTCAAGTGTCCAGGATCCAGATTCTGACTTTACCACTACCAGCTCTGGGACCTTGGTTGGGTTAGTAACTTGGTTTCTTCATCTGTAAAACGGCTATCATAAGAGTACGTACCTCAAAGATGTGTTAAACGAGATACTACAAGTGTCAAGAGGAGTACTAACAGACTGTTCCCTATCATTACTAATATTTTATGATTATGATTAATAAACTGGGTTCGAAGGCGAAAGACCGGGCTTTGACCTATGTGACCAAGAGCTGCGTGACCTTGAATGAGGGACTTTAAAAACGGTAAGCAGACGTGAGACGCATAGCACAGAGCCTACCCCACACATGGGTAGAAGGCTTGTTAAGGTGCTGTGCATGTGACTGCTTTGTAAACTGTGAAACTCTGCATAAGTTAATAGGTATCCATTCATCCATCAAACATCAACTGAGGATCCACTATGTGTCAGGTACCCTTCTAGGCCCTGGGGTTGTGACCAAAACATGCAAGGGCTCTGCCCCATAAGGCTTTTAGCCAAGCTAGGGTAATAAACCAATAAGATAGAACGTCAGGCACTAGGGAAAAAAGCGGTTAGAGCCTGGGTGGGAGTGTATGTGCTGTTTTAGTTAGGATGCTTGTGTTTGAGCAGAGATTGGAATAAAGTCAGGAAGGATCCATGAGGCTATCTGGAGGGTAGAAGGAACAGCATGTACAAAGGCCATGAGGTAAGAGCTTGTTGGGTATATTGAAGAGACCACAAGGAGGTTGGTGTGGCTGGAGAAGGGAAGCAAGAAGAGAGAGGGGCAGGGGAGGAGGGCAGAGAGATAGTCCAGGGGCAGATCGTCTCTGGCCTCAGAGGCTATTAAATGGACAGAGTGAAGGAAACCCGCTGGAGGGTTTAAAGCAGAGGAACACCATGGATCCTTAATGCTTTGGAAAGGTCACCTGGCTACTGACCTGAGAATAGTTCTGGGGGAGCGAGAGTGGAAGTAGTGTGATCCCTTAGGAAGCTATTGTAGTAGTCAAGGTAGAAGGACGTCGTCGTGCTTTTAGGAATAACTGGTTTCAGGATTTGCTTACTAGTGGGTGTGAAATACGAGTAAAGGAAAGGAAGCAGGCCAGGGAAGGCAGCTGGGAGAATGGAGCTGCTCTTTCCAAGATGGGGAGCACTGTGGGAAAAGCAGTTTGGGGTGGCCAAGAATGGAGAATTTGGATTTAGATGTAGTCCCATGTACATGGGAGTTCAGGCATGATGCTGGGCTCAGGGGCATGAGCTCAGCATCACAGCTCATCAAAGGATGAGGTCACCTAGGAATGAACCAGGACACAAAAGAATAAAGGTCACAGGCCTGAGCCCTGGGAGCTCCAAATTTCAGATGCCAACAACAGGAGGCATCATTACAATAATAATACTGAAAAACAATAAAGGACAGTAAAGGACAATCTGACCTCAGTTTGGTGTAGGTGGCTGATTATTTTCATTTTGAATGGATTTTCCATTTCAAGACGGTCAGTCATTTATGTACTCAAAGCACTTTTCGAATTCTGTGATCAAGCATATTTATTTATGTGTTTACTGTTCATCCCTTCTTCTACATCATAAATTTTCTAGAATTGGAACTATATCATATTCCTGTTTATATACTATAAGCCTGGTATATAACTGAGTGTAATAATATTAATCACCAACATTTATTTAACCATG